GGCGGGTTTCCCAGTTTGTTTTGGGGGTTCGGGGGATTCCAGTCCGCCATAGGGTTTTTGAGCGGGAGGCGGCCACATTTTTTCAAAGGGATGGTGTACACCTAACGGAGGTTGGGCTCGACCTTTTTAATCTCGCCCTACAGGAGGCGGTGGAACAGGCCATGGGTGGTTTTGGTGGGGTTCCCCGCTGATTTAGGGGTAAATCAACAGGTCTGGTGGCGGGGGTATGTCCTTGCCAATTAAGTTTGAGGGGTTATGTTTAAGGATGGAGTAAGTTTCGTTATGTTTGCAGGTCTCAACCTCCCCTGCTTCAAACGATTAACATTAGGTTTCCTGAGGTGTCGTGCCCATCGAGCGTGGATAAGGTCGGCTGATGGAAAGATCCGATTTATGACGAGGGAGGAGGTGAGAGGAAGTGGTGATTAGGAACCACTGTATGTTTATTGGCAAGGACGGTTGGGTCACTGTATAACACTGTGTTGAGTTATATGTTTATATGTTAATTTATGATTATTTCTAACAATTTCGTTACAGAAAGAAGAGATTTAATAAAAAGTTATGGATGTGTTATGCAGTAATTTATTTATGTTATAATAAATGCAGTGGCCTGTTCATACATACTAAGTTGTCTGTCGTTATTGGGGGGTTTAATAGGGTTAGATTTGTTCTAGGCTGCATCGCGATTCCCCCTACGTACATCCATGCTTCCTCTATGCACCTTACTCCTCCTCCTCCACGTTACAATGGAGATCCAGCTCTGTTCAGCTTCCTTAATTAAGTAGGGGTGCATTTTGAGACAGAGCAAAGATTGGCTTTATGGTGAATTTACTGGAAGTGAAGACTCTGGCATGGATCAATTCTTAGGAATTGGATGATCTACTGATGTTTGATATCCCCAGTTTCATGGTGACATTTAAAAACACATATTTAGTCCTCCTGGCAGAGCCAGGAATCCTGGTAGGAAACGTATGAGAATAAAAAAAATACTCTAGGTCAGTAGTAGAGTATCCAATATAATTCTGTGCTCTGACTTCTGAGACTAATTGGAACAACAGGGCTTTGGTCAGTGCATTTGAGGAAGGATTATCTGATACCCTACAAGATGAGGTGGCAGCCAGGGAACTTCCTGA